AATTATAATTTACTTGACATTTTAAAACACAATCTTCTCCAGAGCGCAGTCTGTACACACGGTTAGGAAAGTTACTAGCAGTATTTTCGGTACCTTGTCTTTATATTTTCAGGACAGTAGTTCTTTGTTTCAAGCATGTCTGGGTGTGCGACTCTGAATGTTTTGTGTTTGATCACAGAGAGTATTTCAGCAACCGCTGCAAGCGGAGCAAGTACGTCAACGTCAACAATAACAATATAAATAATAACAAAAACAATAATAACACATCAACAAATCGATCAACAAAACAACGAAATTTGACTGAATCAATCAAATGAGCAAAAAATAGGTACGTATATTGAGCTAGAGAACAAATCTGTCAAAGTCTAGTGTCCTGTTGGGACGCACTCGTCCTCCCAGACGGGCACCCGCACCATCTTCCACTCTGGGACTTGCTGATCCTCGACGGCCGGCACGGACACCATCTGCCACTCCTCTTTCACGTCGATCGTCTTCTTCGTCTCCCACACGACCTCCTTCTTCGTCTCCCAGACGGGCAACTTCTCCTCCTTCCACTCCTCCACCGTCTTTGGTACCCAAACCTGCGTCTTCTCGGTCTTCCAGACCTTGACGGGTTCGCTCTTCACCTCCTTCTTCTTCTCCGTCTTGTACTCGGTCTTCGTGTCGGTCTTCCAGACCTTCTTGTACGACGTCTTCCAGATCAGGCGCTTGCTCTGGGCCGCGTCTCCCGTCCAGTCTTGCTCCACGGTGACCTTCCACACGGGGATGGACACCTTCTTGTACACCGGGTACTTGATCTTCTTCTGCACCGGCACCGCCACGTCCGTCCAGTACGTCTTCTTGACCGTCTTCACGTCCGGCACCTTGACGTCCTTCCAGATGGGCACCTGGATCTCCGTGACGACGGGCTTCTTGACCGTCTTGAACCCCGGCACCTTCACCTCCTTCTCCACGGGTACCTTGATCTCCTTCTCGAACGGCACCTGCACCTTCTTCCACTCGGTACGCAGGGTCGGCTTCTTCTCCGTCTTCCACTCCTGCTTCCACTCCGTCTTCCACACCAACTTCTTCTCCCACTTGCACGCACCGGCCGCGTTGGCCGCCACGCTGCTGCTGACGTGGTCGATGCCGTGGTCGTGGTCGATACCGTGGTCGTGGTTGATGCCGTGTTCGTGGACGACGTATCCGCTCCCCGACCCCGACGGCGCGGGGTCCACGGGGCCGTGCGCTCCCCTGCTCCCGACGATGATGTCGCTGGTCTCGTCCTCGAAGGAGGCGTCACCGGGCGCCGTGATGCCGATGTCGGCCTCGTTGGAGGCGTCCACGCCGGCGGGCCGGTGGCCCTCGGGCCCCACGTCGATGGCCGACCACCCGCTGGTCCCCAGGTCGGCGTCTGGGCTGCAATCATCAAGAGGTGGGTGAATGAGTATAGGACTGGGCGAGCACGGTCGGTCTCCTAGTAGCGGAGGGCGACTATCGCGGCGAAAGCGAACCCGATCTACGAGGCGGCAAAGAAGCCAGTCCAATCCCCGTGGGCCGCGGCCCCGCCCCGCCTCACCCGGCGGCTAGAGTAGACCAAGAAAAACTTTTTATTAAAATGTTTAAGTTCACATTGCCCATCTTGTGCCAATCCATAAAAAACGCTCTCCAAAAAAATTTCAGCCAGATCGGACAATATTTGACCCTCCCGAAGTGGGTTCAAAGTTAACATTAGTTTCTTATGGGTCATCGGGCCAAAACGTTACATATTTGGCCTGTGGCTCAAACTATCAATCGTAGACAAAGGCCGTTATCAAAAACG